AGCCTTTGAGAAAGTGCACTTCGACGCGAGCTAGTCAGCCAGGCACGACCCGGTACAGACACACCTTCGTCTAGGTTCTCGCGGATGCCCAAGCACCACTCGAAGATGTCCCTTTTTCCCACCCTCGGCCGCCAGACGTCAGTTAGGACCACGGTGCTCCAGCGGAATGACGTGTGCTCCGAAGTCCAACTTATTTCCATCTATTCTTCGTTCCTTTGTGTACACAATAAACTATTCCTACTACTCTGGCCTCCAGTGATTTCTCCTCTACTAGGTAACCATGGCCTGAAGATCGCAGTTACTAGGATTTAAATTACTTAACCCCCTGCGATACATACTCGTCAATTATTCCAGAAAGCCATTAAATTCAGTTGGTTCGCTTAAAGGTTTATCCAGAAACACTCGCGTAAGCCAGAATAAGCTGTATGACCGAAACGCTGTCCCCCTAGGAAATTGCGTTTTCCACTATCTGTGTTTAGACTTACAATTTCATATTGGTGGCGTGTTTCTTATCCTTCTACATTATTTGGAAAAAGGACAATCTTGCATTTTTTCGATGAGAAAGGAGCAACAGTCTAACTTAACCTACGTATACGTCGCAGAAAAGTGGCTAAATGGCGATAAATAGATGAAAGGCAGACTGCAAATCGAAGATTGGGATGGTCGGCCTTTCCGTGGGCAACTTATAATCAGCAGCAAAGCAGTCATTATCCCCGGTATTTTCATATATCAAGGGAGACTTACCTTCAGTTAAGAGGGGCCTTAAATGTTCTCAGAACTTCGGACGATCATACGAGTCAACCAGAGTCATTCACCATCTCCACGCATGGTCATCAACGAACTCTCATTCCCATTCCTTCTTTTCTTTTGCCTTTAGAATCCAGCGAGGAAATCCCTAGATGCGGCCGTTTATCCTTTCCTGGCGTGAATTCGATGACATATTTTTGTGGGAGAAATCGCTTTACCATGCAATGGCACTCGCTGCATGTAACCAATTTTGTACAGGATCAGTGTGGATGACGGCGGTATCGGACTGCACGCTGTCTCGTTAAAGCAGTGACCAAGTTTCCCTCCTCACCCCCACTTTAGTCTAGGACTAAGAGCGGCACGCCAAACTAACTAACTGGGTTGCAACTCGTTGACGAGCGTTCACGGATTGCTAAGAGA